TCATACTATATTCTATGCGTACCTCTTCGGGGCACACCAAACACACACAAACTGCAATGTACATGTATGTGTGGACATGCACATACTTCCCAAGGAAGTGGCGGGGAGCAGGGTTTCAATTGATTTCAGGCAGGCAGTGGGTGCTTGTCAGGTCGTATGCTGCTGTACACTGCAAAACTTGCCAATTGCCTTCAAAGACTGCAGGGGAATCTGTCGCGCTGGATCATTGGCGATGGCAGCGACGGCAGCATCGGCGTCGAGGGCCATCGCGGGATTGCATGTTGAGTTTCGGGATTTCGGTCTCAAGGCAGTGGCTGCTTCGGTCCAACTATTCTGTCCAACTGTTTCGCGTAAAACTGGCATGCCGGTGTCAGCTGTCACTGAGAAACTGCAAGATGCTGCTGCAAGCTAAACCCTAAAACCCTAAACCCTAGACCCTAAACCCTAAACCCTAAACCCTAAAACCCTGAAGCTCCTTGGAGATGTGAGGCGACGGTGGGATGCATGAGTCCTGCGCTTGCGCTGTCGGGCTTGAGGTGAGCCTGACAAAAATTATCGACTGCATGTGCCTCCGGTTGATCGTGGCAGTCTCTACAAATATGGATGATGACCAGTTTGGGGCGAGGGGAGGTCGTCTTTCACAGAGCCCAGCTCGGCATGTGCATTATAGGGAACTCCAGAAAGTTGGAATATGGTTTCAGAGTAGGATACCCCATAATTTACCATAAAGGGTTTAGGATAATCATATTCCAACTTTCTGGCTTGTACTCTAGGGCATACTGTGGCATCCGAGTGGACCGCCCTCTTCGTCTGTGCAGGAAAGAAGCTGTACCTGCAGGGGGAGACACCAGGCTATGCCACATTGCTAAACCCCCAAGCCCTCCATCCCTAAACCGAAAGCCTAACCCTAAACCCCAAGTTACTCCGCAAGCCCAAATCCACTAAGCTTCAACACCATGAAAGTTGTACTTCGACTAAACTTCGGCTCTTAAATTAAAACAAAATGTTCTGCCGCTAACCCCGTGAATGAGGGGTTATTCGGGTTTCGGACTTCGGGTTTAGCAAATAATATAGAGTTCTGAAGTCTGAAGCAGTCTATGCGTGCATGACCGTTGTGCTAACCTTGAGGGTCCGTGAACCCAGACGGTAAATAATTTGGCCTTATAGTCCTTGTACAGGTACTTTAGGGAGAAAAAGTACATGTATATATATATATATATATATATATACATATCGTACATTACATAGAAACAGACGTATGTATATATATATATATATACATATGTATACAGATGGGTATACATCCTACAATACATGGGTACATGGACCCGTCGGGCCATAGGGCAATGAGCTTCGGCGGATCGGGGCTGTCTTGTCTGCGGTTTTGTGATTTAATTTAGGTTGCCAGAGTATGGGTTCCTTTAAGGGGTCAAAAAGGGCTTCATTAAGGGTTCTATAAATGATCGACTGTTGCTCCGATTCCCAGAGCCTCCAATTTCCCTTAATTCAGGAATATACCTCAAATCATATCTGATTAGGGATCCTCCCTTAATGAAGGAATAAGCCTCGAATCATATGATGGATCCTACTATAATTCAAGGTATATTCCTTAATGAAAGAATATTGGAGTCTCTGGGTTGGAGGTTTGGGGGTGCTTTCAATCGCCTGCGTCCCAAAGGCGATGCGAAAAGGCACATGAGTAGTTCTCTGGGGTCCCTTTTTACGGTTCTTAGAGGGATCCATCGGGGTTTCTATGAATGTACTATATGGGTAGTTCTCTAGATTAGGATCTTCATTGGGGTCCTTCTTCTAAGGGTGCCGTACTGCTTTGGGGACCCTAATTTAGAGAACTAGCCATATGGGTCTCGGGGCTATGCTGTCGGGTCTAAAGTTTATAGGGCTGCAGAGCTTCTGCCCCTGTCTTGTTCTCCAACCAGCAAGTCGCAAATGCGCAAACACCAATAGACCCAAAAACCCAAGAGCCCTAAACTCAAAAACCCAAGAGCCCTAAACCCCTAAACGAAGGGTCCACCTCTGAGCGAGCTCGCCAGCTTCAGAGCCAGGTACCTTGGAGGTTCAGAACCGAAGGTTCCCACTGCAGCTTTACTTCAGAAACCCAAGGCTTCCAGGGACCTCAGTGTTGGGTTCTTAAAGGATCTAGGGCCCCATAACTGCAAGGTTAGCATAAACACTGAGTATTTCTCTTGGGGTCCGTGTACCCAGATAGTATATGCTTTGGCCTTAGAGGTACTTTCGTGCCAATGTATACACTATATGAGTACATGAACCCTTCGGGCTTATCACCACTCATGGTGGGCATATGATACATGAAGCCCCCCTCGAATACTAACTCTTGCACTTGGAATCATAAAATGCTAAATACAATACTAAACCTAAAACCCTTCAGCGTGAGGAATAAGGGTTTCGAGTTCACGGAGTAGGGGTCAGGGATTGCAATGCAAACGTAGGAAGAGCTTTCGGATGCAGAGTCCTTCCTTCGAACCCTTCGGGTTCGGTGGGGCCAGGGTGCTCCGGAGACAGCAGCAAGCCCAGCTGAATGCATCAGACAAGGTAGGGGTCGGAATACAGAGTCAGAAACTTTCTTTCAAGTCCTGAAACAAAACCCGAAACCCTATTATCATGTTTACGGCCTACCCATTATGCTCCTCTGGAGTAGATCAACCGACTGCCGACCCCGACCCTCCTGCCACATCCTGTTGATGAACAGTCCCAGTGGTGGTTGTGGGGTGAGAGTTTAGGGTTTAGGGTTTTGGGTATGGGGTTTGGAGGTTACGGGGGCGGTAGTGGTGGATACAACTAACAACAAGAGCGTAATCATAAAGACGCGTCCGCACCCAGCTCCAAGGGCGTGGCAGGAAAGCCCTTGCCACTGAGCTTGCCCCTTGTAAAGGGGTTCCTGAGATGTCATGAGGGATAATATAGGGGCCTTAACAATTAGAATAGGGTTTGGGGGTATATTATACTATACATATAATAAGGAACCCCCACAATAGTATAGGTAATTAGTACGGTCTCTATACTAGTCAGACTTTGGGGCATGCGAGGGTCCTCTGGGGCGTGAATCCTACACCTTCCGAAACCTTGAGTTGCTCAAGTCCTGGGCTCTTGTTGACGTAATAGAGAAACCATATTAATTACAAAAGGTCCCCACTATGATAACTTAACTTGAACTCCTTAACACGAACCCAGCATCCCACTCCTCGTTCAAAACTGAGCACCCTGAACCCCTATAGTTCGGCTTGTAGTAGCCTTGCTAAAGTTGCCTTCTTGCACATGCAGCACCCTTATAGCCTCATAAGAACGAACCTTCAAGGAATCACTAACCCGAACCTCCGGCTCATGTGCCTTCTTAACTCACTCAGGGTGGCATGAGCGCCATGCAAGACTCAGTCCCGATATATGTATATATATATATATATATATGGGTGGTTGTCAAAATTATGGCCCTATTTTGGGTACCCTAAATATTCGGTGCCGTATTATAACAAGGACCCAAAAAGGGACCCTAATTTTGACAACCACTCATATACACCGGCACCAGGATGCCCGCACCCCCAAACCCTCAAAGCCCTCTCAACAAGCCCCATAGCCCACTCCAAAGATCGAGTTAGGGTTTAGGGTTTAGGGTTTAGGGTTTAGGGTTTAGGGTTTAGGGTTTAGGGTGACACCAAACAAAGACCCAGACCAAAGGCCCGGAGCCCGCATCTTCATAATTGTACCATACGGTGGATGATATAAATCCTGCATTACCTTAAGGACCCTAAACTATGGGAATCATGGTACATTCCTTATTATTCGTAATGCGGGATTTATATCATCAACAGTATTATACCGTACAGTAGTATATTGTAAGGCTTGAGGATTTAGGGTATATTGAACTATATAGCTTGGCAGATCATACTGGAATCGGACATATCAAGCGCTGTTACTTTGAGCCCCTAACTTCCGGAACCCTCGCACAAAAAAGCATTGTCATACGGCTGCTATGACTGGTATGAGGACCGCTAGGAGGAGGACCATGAAGACCAATATAGGAGCCCTGTTACGTTGATTATTATTTACTGTTTCAGTATAGTCCTAGGGGGACTAGAAGTTCCGACCCCTAAATTACTTGCAGAACCCTTGTGCGGGCGCGGTTCGCTGAGCCCTGGCGCACCGGGGGCGGCAGGGCCTCCCAGTCAAAAGGGGATGGTCTGATATAGGGGCCTTGATCATTTAGAATAGATTATACCATCTTTCTCAGAGGAACACTAGGGTATGTTGGGGCTACGATGTCTACTGTTGAGTGGGTGCTGGTACTAGAAAATCTGGCTCAGGGTCTTGGGCTTGCGATATCTGGACGAGTGTAGCAGCTGCGCTACGGCTAGTGGGACTGCGATTTACTGTGCTCGCAGCAGTGTCGCCTCATGCTAACATCATGATAGCATACCCAACATCATTGGCGATATTGCGTGCATGTGTGGCCCACGTCGTGGTGTCTTGTGTCCCTGAGTGTGTGTGTGTGTGAATACTTGTGTACTGATGGTGCTGATGGTGAGGCATACCCATCATCATTGTCACGACACGAAACGGAGTTTGAATGACTGCTTTTGCTGCCACTACTGCAACTGCTACTGGACATGCCTTAGCACTGCAGAGGCAACGAGGGGCCGGACGACGACCAAACCGATAGCCTATTAGTGCTTGATGGAAGGGTTTGAGAGCTTGTGATTCAGGACCTCCCACTCCGTATCCGAACAGTTGAGTTCGCAATTTACCTTTAAGGCTTGGCGGCTCAAGGAATGCAAGGCTCAAGCCTTCCATGTTAAATGGTCTGTGTAAAAGTGGACGGACAAATTCATGGGAGTTTGGGGTCTCTGCTGAGCTACACAACCACCGCGAGCTGGAGGCACAGCAAACAGACTTCAAACCCCTCCAGACTGAGCAGATAACACCAAACCCTTGAGCCACTGGTCAGGAACACAGGTTGACTTTTACCGTCAGCGGCAAGTTCTCTGCTTCTTGGCACTACCAGGCTCATCGTCGCTTTGATCCAGCAGGACTAGATCTGTAGCACCTGTGGAACAGGCTAAGGAGAAGGTTCCATGATGTAAGGCTTTTGCAAGGTGCTCTGAAATATACGGGCTCATGGATTCCCGCATCATGTATTATGGATACAGGCAAGATGCCTGACAAAGAGACTGCGGAGTCTTTGGGGGTGGTCTTCCTAAACCCTAAAACCCTGAAAACTAAACCCTTGAGCCTGATTGCTAGAGCGTTTTGGAGGCAAGGACTGGTGGTTTTGGATTTCAAGGCTTCGAGAATTGGGGTCAAAGGCTCGGGGTTTGGGGCTCCAGGTTTTGGGCTTGGGACTGAAGGTTTCTTTGCATGAGAAGTCCTTGCAACAGTACTAAGGTTGCGGCAGCTTCGGTTCGCGGGTTGACGAAGCAGGTTCACATACATAATTGCATACGAACATTCACTAAATCTTCAAACATCCGCACACGGCTTTTGTTAGCACATGGTCTTAGAGTCTAGGGTTCAAAGGTTTATGGTTTACCGGCTGAGAGACCCCTGAAGATGGAGGCCTAATTAAACTTTCGGGTCCATGCAAGCTCCAAGGCGCCAGAAGCTCCGCCGGAGTGCAGAGTCGCGGCGAGGGGTGGCGCATAGGCCTCGCCGTTGTCCTGTTGGTTTCGGGCCTCGGGGTTTGGTTCTTATATAAAAGGCCACATGGCACAACGTGTCAGGTATAATCGGATTTAGGCAGGCTTAGGATCTAGGTTATGACTTGGAGGATCTGGAACTTCGTAGGCAGGGTGGCATGTCAGATCTCAGGGTGTGGAGGCTGTGTCGACGTACGGTTTAGGTTTAGGGTATAGTGTTTCGGGTTTAGTTCTCAATGACTTTTGCAGACGGCAACAGCAGCAACAACAAAGACGACAACAGTTGTAGGAGACCGCGAGCACGACCGAGACCTCGACAGCAGCAGCAAGAGCAAAAATAACCATACTAAACCCCCACAAGAGCCATGAAGTAACCCTTGTAGATGCAGTAGGATATATCCTAATGAGCCTAGCTTGAATGGTTAGTTTTGCGCCTGTACTAAACCCACCCATAAGACCCACATAGTAACCCTTCTAACTCATAGTTCTGATTATGAAAGCTCCTATACCAGAAGCAGCTGGTACTACTTCTGCTACAACACTGGACCCCTGTTTCAAGCTAGTCACGCCCCTACACCTAATTATCTTAAACTCTCTACTCCTAAGCCCCGCATAGTAACACATACAACTTATAATTCTGATGCTTAAGGCCCCTATCCCAAAGACTCCAATATCCCTTAATCAAGGAATATACCTTAAATTATAGTAGGATCCCTAATATGATTTAAGGTATATTCCTTAATTAAGGGATATTGGAGTCTCTGGGATCACCGATCCCAACAGCTCCTCCACTTTGGCCCAGGCCCCCAGCGCTTTGCGCGCTGCTGCGCCACCAGAAACAGCGAGGGCCTTGGCCTCCTCCAGAAGTTGAGGGTCCTGTCTTAGGAAGATTAGGGCTTCGGGTGTAGGGCCGTGTAGGGTAGGTTAAGGGTTTCGGATTTAATTAGGGTAGATTTAGGGTTTAGGGTCTAGGGCAGGTTTAGGGTTTAGGCTTTAGGGTAGGTTCAATGGATAGGGTTTGAGGGTTTAGGGTAGGTTTATTAGGGTTTATAGGATTTAGGTTGAGGGTTTAGGGTAGGTTTAGGGTTTCTTAGGAAGATTACCAGCAGCCCCCCAACTACCCTGTACTATACCCCAAATACCCACAATTTATAAGTTAAGGACCAAAAGGGCTCTATTCTAGGGCACTTGGAGGGTCCTGTCTTAGGGAGATTGAAGTTTGTAAGGGTTCCGGATTTTAAGGCTTGGGGACTGAACTCACTGGGGTCATGTGCAGAACTCCGGTCTGTGGAGGCTTTCTGGGCTTTGCGGCTTCGGGCGCAGGGGCTAGTGAGGGTGTTGGTTCAGGCTTTTTTGCAAGGCAAAGTTCACAGAAGAGGGAGGGACCCTTTAAGGATCCCTTTAAAGGGATCTATAGGGATTCTATGAGGGTAACATCTGCCAAACGAAGGATGGTGCGGGGATGCGCAGATCGTTGGAGCTTCTGGGCTCGGGGCTCAGCGCTGAAAGGCAACGGCACCCTAGGTTTAGGGTTTAGGGTTTAGGGTTCGGATGACCTGGATGTGCAAACAAAAATGCCTGGGCCAAAGCACCCCCTCAACCCCAAGCATCTCGGCTCCATGGGGATTTAGGGTTCAGGGACTCTCCTGAGCCCATAAATCCTAGACTGAACCCCTAAACCCCAAACCCATTCTTTCCAGGTTCTTCCTCCGGCATCACGCCATACCAGGAAAGGTCGTGAAAGAAGCTGCCCAGCTCCTTCCGCAGAGCTTTGTTGAGTTCGGGACTGCAGCCTTTGCTGGAGAAATGGGCCCAAGCCTAGACACAAAACTCCCAACAACTGACTTCGACGGGCACTGGCCAGTCAGGCCTGATATCGCTGCCTTAATAAACAGAGTAAGGAATTTTGCCAGCCAGGCCCCTGTTTTGATTGTAAGACGAAAGACACATCGAGACCCCGATGGCCCATAGTAAACATTGCAAGCAAAGTACACGAAACAGGGTCTTGCCCCTGGCGATCCTTCCATGTCTCTGCCTCTTTGACACCAGCCGCGCCGCCGGCTGTCACCTGGCACATGTGGGTAGTTGTCAAAATTAGGGTCCCTTTTTGGGTCCCATATATAGTACGGCACCTATTATGTAGGGTACCCATAAAGGGACCATAATTTTGACAACCACCCACATGTCTTCTTGGCATCGGCCCAAATCCTGAACCCTGATTGACGCCCGACGCCCTCCGAAACCTTCCTGTAAATTCGAAAGCCCGAAGAACCGCTCCAACAAAAAAGACTCCTATGTCGGCCCAACAGTTCTGAACTAGCTTTATCCGTCCACGCGCCATGAAACTCCAACCCAACAACATACTCCAAAATCCCTAAGTCGTACATGGATCCCAGAAAACAGAACCCTTATAGAGGTTCGGCGTGTGCAGAAGTTCAGGGCTACTTAGACCCTTGTTGAAGCATACCCAGGTTCGCCCTTCAAAGCTGCCGACAAATCTTCGAAACTCAGATCCCCATAAGCCCGGTAAGGAAGAGTAGCACAAACCCAAAGGCCCAAAGGCCTACCCAAACATTGTGTGGGTTTGATTAAGAACCCCCACCGCCCCACCCCCCCTCCCCACCCGGCCATGATTAGGAATAAGCGCGGACCGGGACCACAGCCAAACGCTCGAGGTGGTTGGACTAATACTGGGAGTGAGGCTACAGAAAACCACAAACGGCTGATTGCTTGTACTCAACTTAGTAGGTATTGCGTATTACGACCCCATTTGACTTAATTGTCGGGGCATCCGGGGCCAGGTTGCAGGCTTGTAGTCTTCCTAGAATGCGATCGGCAGAACCGGCCCGAATAAAAATGCATGAAAACGACACCATTTATTAATCAAAGGTGGAGTTTCCGAATATTAGGGGTACCTTTTTCTGGGGTCCTTATAATAGGGATCCTACTATTTCACTTGCTAGTAGGCTGAAGTCAAAATGGCGCCTCAGTGAGGTGTCTGGCCTCAGCAAGGCGCGCCTTTACCTTGGCACTCCCTACTTGTCCAGTATCGGTTTAGGGTTTAGGGTTTATATCCTGGGGAGCTGGCTGAAATCTAAACTTTGGGAGTGTATTGGGACTATGTTGAGATTAGAATAGAAGGCGCCGTACTCTACTACTAGGACAATGCCGTTGCGGAAACTCAAGAGCGTGCATGTCACCCGATGTTTGCGGATGTGGCGTTGTGAGGTATGCCTGGACCCTCAAAAACCTTCGTACCTGTTCAAGAACTTATATAACAAAATCATGAGGAACGCCAAGAAGTAGGTTATTTAGGGCCTAGGTAAACCCAAGCAACAATAATGAGTTTGTGGATTTCCTAGGGGTGTTGCAGAGGCGTTTCGAAGGGAGTTGCAAAGAGTCTTTCGGTTCGGGTGTTCGCCATCAAACCCTAAGCTGCAAGCCTCAAGACTACGTACTTTGAGCCCTTAACCCAACCCGTCATCGACCCTTACTTGTACATATCAGACTTTCAGCTCGCTCTTGTTGTTGCAACTTTGAGGCCCGTACCCGGTACGAGGAGGCTTTGGATGCTGGTTGTTGTAGAGTAGCGTCCCGTTTTGAAGTTACATAGAGGTCCGGTCTGGGTCCAAAACAAAGGCATTGCCTGCACGACCGCGTACTCAACAGTGCTTCCTTGCAAAACGACCTCCCTTGAGAACTGAAGGCTACAAAAGAGAATACTCTGTAAAAAGAAGCAAGCAGGTTCAACCCCCCATGATGCAAACACGACTTGCCAGTTCTCAAGGGTTTTGGGATCCATTGTTTTGTAGGGTTTGGGCTTAGAGCTTCGGGGCTGAACCGACTGCCGATCTAACAGCATTGACTTCCGAGACGAACCCTGTTGCTGTATTAATGAGGTATGAGCAACAGTTGTATCGTGGTGTCTAAAGTCTAAAGTCAAAGCTTGTGCACGCCAAGGCTTGTGGAACTATAGGCATCGTAAGCGGAATCTAAAACTTTACACAGGGGCTTCGGGTGCACGGACTTGAGGACTTGGAGTACCCCTCTGTGATACCTAAAGTCTACAGTTCCTTGTTGGGCCTTAACCATAATGATACTCAGGATCCTATACGTTAACCCCGAAAAAGAACTATAATGGAGACTATAGATATTATTCTTCTTGAGCAAGGCGCTGGCTCATTCATTGCCTTCGGGACGTCCAGGCCTGCACAAAGCAACAACTGGAAGGTAGACCGCCAGGAAAGAGAGCGACTCCGATTAGGGCTTGGGGTCAAGGGGTGTCTGGGGTGTGGCTGACCATGAAAAGCTGCTCTTCATGTCGATTCGGCTTTCTGTGCTCCGCTTAACGTGCCATGCGCGAAGCATTTCTATCTCAGAACTGATGTTCCACCCGTCAGCACAGACCCAGACGTGTCGGCGAAGGCACCTGAACGTAGCCCTCGAAGCCATTTCAGCTTCTCACCCAGGTGTCCTGTCAAATTTCACGATCTCGTCTTCAGGGGTAGAAAGGATTTGGCAACACGGTGGACACATCGATAAACTTTCAAGGCTAAACATGCGACAATTCCTGCTCAAGGTCACCGCATCACTCCCTTGTTTGTCCCAAAACCTACGACTCTCTGCAACCCAGCAACCCGAAACCCTGAATCCTAAACACTACACCCTAGCTAAATCCTAAACCCTGGCCCTGAACCTGAACCCTAAACCGAGACGTAGGAGCTTCTCCTCTTGGTGCTGAAGCCAAGAGCGACTCAAAGTGGAGAAGCTGCACTTCGAAGCCCAAGTTGGGATTGATGGCCTCCCCTAAGACTCCATGTATCCATTCAGTAGGAACTTAGGCCTTAAATGGGTCCCCATATGGGCACTTTAAGGCGTAAGTACCTACTATATGGGTACATGGAGTCCTAGTGGGGCATGCGGGGCTTCACCGGCAAAAACCCAGACTGACGAGGATCACATAACTTTCCTATGTGTCGATGATCATTGGGGCAGCTACGAATACTGCCGCGCGTTCTGCTGGGACACAATTAATTAAGACCATAATCACAACCACGGACCACCACCATCACCACCGCGACGTCAACCACATCCAGAAAAACCAGCTCCACCACCATCGCCTCATACATTGCTACCTGGGCCAAAACCACATCAACGACCGTTACCTCCACCATCACCTCGACCACCATCAGCACCACCAGAGAGATCTCCATCAGCACCACACAGTACCTGAACCACCGCCTTAACCCTAAACCCTAAACCACCGCCACATGATGTACAAACACTGCTGCCCTTCTCACTGTCGTCGTGACCGTTTGTACCATGTCCTCAGCTACAGAATGAAACTCATGTCATAGCTAGGTCCGAACCTATCTATAGGCTCCATTGTAGTTCATTTTTGGTTTAACCCAAACATATACCTAGGATCCTACAAGGTAACCCCAAAACGGAACCACAGTGGAGACTTTAGGAATCTTTCCAGCCAGGATGCAGCACGCTTTGCCTCCACTTGAGCCCTGGCAGCTCTGTAGGACAGGCCTTCACAGTTCTGGGTTTCGGGCTTAGGGTTCTGGGTTTAGGGTAGGCTTGCTGCGCACGAACTCTCTATCATCTAAATAAACTGCGACTTGAGCTTGCGGGTTTAGCATTTCGTGTCAGTAATGGCACGAATAGCAATAATGACTTCAGAAATGATAGCAGTAGTGGCAATGAAGGAAGTGTGAGAGCCAAAGCCAGCTGCAGCTCCTAGCACCACCAGGACGACTGCCACCCGCTGCTACCCCTCCTGCTGCTGCTAGTACTACCACGGTTGATGATAAATCCTGCAATAGCTTAATGACACAAAACTATGGGAATAGTGGTATATTCCTCCTTCTGGGTAATGCAGGATCTCTATCATCAATCAACCGTAGCACCACCACTGGGCCCACCACTGCTACAAGCATTCGTGCGAAAAAATACTATCTGGTTCTTAGTGGGGAATGGGGGGCATATTGGGGATTGTATAGGGACTACTTTTGGGGATCAGTTCCCCCATTCCCTACTAAGCACCAGACAGAATAGGCCTAAACTTGGAGGCGACTCGAACGTTTTTCCTGCTGTGCCTTGCAGGCGTATTTGTTTGTCACTCTCGCGCGTGTTCGAGGGCGTACCCATAGGCTCCATAGTAGTTCCTTGTTGGGATTACCTTGTAGGATTCGAAATATGAACCCCAAAAGGAACTACTATGGGAGCCTATGGGTATGTTGTAGTAAGGCCTTGAAGTACAAACAGGCTTCGCTACACAAATGAAAATTTCTGCTGGAATTACATTTCTCTGGCTGTCTAGTGAGTGCTTGCTACAAAAAACAGCTACTGAGCGCAAAACACATGATGGTCCACTGTTTTTATAGGCCCTATTATAGGCTCTTAGTCAAACCCTACTATCGAATTCTAGTAGCATGTAACTTCAGGACCCTCCCGACAGAAGTAGTCCAAGGGCTGTGGCCCTGAGCCCCAAACCATTGAACTTCCGAAGGATGCGCTGACTCAAAACTGCCGTTTCCTGACCCTAAACGCGAGTTGACCTTAGTAAGTCAAGCCCTGGCAGAATGTGCGACAGCTGAGAATGCCGAGAAACTAGAGGCATTGGAAAACGCATCAATCTGCTTGGGGGCTTAGAGGGTTGATAGTGGGAATAATTGGGATTTGTGAAGATGTTTAGGCAAACTGTTGAGGGTTACGAACAGACAGTATATATAAACACATCTGCCGATCATTTACCAGTCTCATTCTGTTCCCACATATCGTAGTATGTCTGGTAAGTTTCACATATAGCTTTCCATCTGCACCTTTGGCCACCATGATGTATGCGATTACCACACTCGCACTGCGCGACACTCCTGCTTCGAAATAGACGCTTCGCACTTGGGAATGTCGGGGGTTTATGGTTACGTCAAGGTTCGGGGTTTGGGGTTTGAACAGCTGCAGGATGTTCGGCTCAGAGTTCAGTGCTTCAAGGTTTCGGGTCTCAGGCCCTGCACGGCTTCTCCGCAGTTTCGATTTCGTGAAATCACAGGGAATCTTTGGGGGGAGGGGGGAGGGGGGGAGGGGAGCATACTTCCTTAAACTAATAGGCCTTGGTAAGTCATTCTTTTACGTATTGAGGCCCCCTACCCCCCTAAGGGTCCTTGACTGCATAATGCGGGGGAATCATAAGGTCTCTACGGGTTCTGCAAACGGCTCCCCCTAGAATTGTTGCTGGCTATGCCGGCTTCTATGCGGGCCTGAATAAACAGAATAGGCTTAGGGGGTAGATTAAAGCGCGGCTGCATTGCTGAACCCTAAAGAAGTTGGATAGGTTTGTACTTACTCACGCCCCTACATATTCTGCCAAATCCACAGTAAATCCAGCAAGTGCTCCTCGCGTGCAATGGACGAGCGCCGACTCACGACGCAACTGCGCCTGAGCACTGCCGGGCGCTGAGGACAGGGAATGTTCACGAGATGAACAATTAGTTGACAATAGCATGCAAGTGGAACCAGCGCGAAACTAAAGCAAGTCCGCCGCAGCCGTCGTCCGAAACCCCAATCCTGAACTCCGAAGCCCGAGAAACCCTGAAGCTAAGGGCTTACAGGGTTTACGGCTTTGGTTTTAGGGTTCGGGGCTCAGTAGGTTGAGGACTTGGATTGGGTCAAAAGTTGTGGAGCCGTGCAAGCAGATGTCGACATGGCTGCAAACAAGCAAGGCGTCTCGAAAAGGGTTTATCGGGTTCAGGAGTTTCCGGCTTAAGGGGTTCAAGGATGTAGGGACTATATATATATATATATATGAAACAGGAGCAATGCTGAGTTTGAGGGTTGTAAGCAAGCCAGATCCCAACTTGCTTCGAAGTGGCGGCACTAGGCACTATTCCAGGATGGTTGCATAGCTGTTTGTAGAGTGCATCTCCTAGAGTCTCAACAGCGCTTAACCTTGAAGCTTGGTAACCCAATCCCGATGCACCCCGTGAATGCATGACCCAGCATGAAAGAACAAACAAAATCACCAAAAACATTTCCGGGTCCTTCGATTCGAATTTTTTCTAGTGGGTAAACTCCCATAATTACCGAATTTTCAATGGACCCCCCCCCCCCCCCACATCATGAGCTGGCGGCTTCAGAAATGAAGCTGATGGACGGGTGGAGCACCTCCAGCAAAACTAGGCAACCAAATGTTCCCCGAAGCCCAACCCAGAGACTCCAATGTCCCTTAATTAAAGAATATACCTTAAACTACAGCAGGATCTATACTATTTTTAAAGTCTATTCCTTAATTAAGGGCTTATTTGAGTCTCTGGGAACCCTTCGCGCCCAAGATCCAAGCCCGAGCCCCGACACGCTGAACCCCCGAACAAAACCCCAAATCCCCGCCAACAACCGGGAACCTTCCTGAACCCAAAAAGGACCCTAGCCTTGATGGTGTGTGGCATTTTCCGGGAGGCCTGATAATTACCCTAAATGTCAGAGCATTGGCCCCGAAGTTCATGTCTAGGGCTTATATAGGTGTCTTTTTAAGGAGCTCCCTTGGTTTTAGGGTTTAAGGTTTAGGGTTTAAGGTTTATAGGGTTTAAGCTTTGGGGTTTAGGGTTTAAGGTTTATAGGGTTTAAGCTTTGGGGTTTAGGGTTTAAGGTTTATAGGGTTTAGGAGCCTTTGTGGGTTCAAAGCTTGGGATTTTGCGATACCGGCTGGAGGAGTCGCACCAAGTTCAGGGTGTTCGGAGCTCCTTTCGCCTCGAAGTCTTCAGTGGGCTTTCCAGGGGCTAACCTACCGAAACCTGCAAAAAGCAGGGTCCCTATAACTTCCATATTGGGATTTATATTAGGAACCTACAAAAAAGTCGGTTATGGTAGCTTAAGGTAGGGGTTAACTGTTAGGTCTTGGGGTTTAAGGGGGGGGGGCGCAGGACTGAGGGTTTAGGGTGTGTGTTTTTCAGGATGTAGGCTTTAGCCGTTTGGGTTTACGTTTAGGGTGTAGGATTTAAGGAATGGTTCGGGGCTTGGGCCATTAGGCTCGAGGGTTTTGAGACTGTCGACGCGTGGAAAGTCTGGATGCCGAGACGCGGGCGTTTCACAACTCACAGAACAAGAAAGGCTACCTCAGCCCCGTGGCCGGCCAATAGCATAAAGTACCCTAAGGCTCCAAAGTAGTTCCTGTTTGGGGTTCATATTTAGAATCCTATAAGGTAATCCCAAAAAGGAACTACTTTGGGGCATATGGGTAGGTACTATTTGGGTTTAGGGTTAGGGTTTAGGGGACTTTCGACTCGTCGTTGCGTTGGTGAAACTTTACAGCAAAGTTCGACTATTTGGGGTCTAAGACTTGTGGTTCAAAGCAGAGCCCTTACTTGACATAAAGCTCTGAATCCTAAATTGGCCGTGAGGGTTTAGGGTTTAGGGTTTTAGGGTTTAGGGTTTAGGGTTTAGGGTTCACCCATCTTGCGAAATTCCGATAGAGCGAAGGCGTGATGCCTGGACAAGGTCCGCGGTCGGCTTGTCATCAAGCTTCACCCTTTCTCGGGACGGGGTGTTGTAAGGGGGAGACGAATAAAACCCCCCTATAGCAAAGGAATAACTGTTGGTCTAAGGATGTTCCAGGAAAACAAGTTGGCATGTCGTTTTAGCCGTCTGTAGTCGGAAAAGGTTGAGCCCACTGAATTGCAGTGCTATTGGCCATAACTAGGAAGCGAATTTGTAATATCAGGACATGATGATTGCTGGCATTGCCACTGGCTTTAGAGACGTTTCTGGGGCTCTCAGCTTCCCTAAACCCTAAACCCCTAAACCCTACCCTAAACCCCATCGGCAGTTGGGGTCCCCAAGTCCGAAAACCTGGACCAGGAAACCTAAAGTAACTTGGGAAGAAGAGGAAGTTGGCATTCTTAAAATTTTCCGCTGTGATATCCTTGACCCAAGAGTAACCTAGGAATCAAAAGCGCGCCCTTTTTGGATTAAAGGGGATTGTAAGAGAACCTAAACCCTAAAAACAGAATAAGGGACTCTGGTACTCTGGGTCCTAGTAGTATCGAGATCCCAAGCCCACGGCGGTTGCGGGTAGGCCATCCGGACACACCATTGGAGGGCGGGGTGGGGCGCGGGCACTAGTGCGCGGGCACTAGCGGCGGCTTTGGCATGACGAAGGGGACGAAGGTGACGAAGAGGATGTAGGAATGCCGTTGATCGGACGGCTACAAAACAAATGGGGATAGTCTTGCTGCTCAAGATGCGAACGAAAACGCAATGATCCTAAACCCCTATGAAGCTTTAAACATGAAAGTGTGCGGTTTTCTGATTCAGCGAAACCCTCGGAAATTTCGGTAATCGAAAAGCCGGAAATCGTCAAAACTTTGTCAACTTAAAAAACATTGACAATTCAACTAAAGTGTTTAAACGCGTATGAAGTTCAATGTTTTGTGTACAGGGCAAAGCCAGGAACCTTACCAGCAACTTACAAAGGCTATAAGTTTGAAATTTCTGCGCTTCACAAAGTTGACGAACTTGTCAAAAAGTCTTTAGAGTTCCGCATAGTTTACAAACCTTATGATCTTCTTCGTTTCCTGAAATCCGGAAAAAGAGTCAACCGAGGTCACCGAACAGGCCAGGAAAGTGGCAAAATACAGCCGCAGAAATGATGTGCGAGGCTAAAAGGCAGAAAGTCCAGGTCAGTATAACAAAACTGGAAGGTTCTTCGCCTGCATACAGGGGCAGACCAGGCTGTAAACAAAAAAACACGCGAGGATTAAAACAAAACAGGTCCCTGTCCAGTGTTTCTTGACCAAAGGAAACGGGAAACGACTTCTACTTTGGAACGGCTTCTGAACGTTGTTGCCGTCGGACTGGGTTGTTGCTCAGGTTGCTATCGAAGCTAAGAGCACCAGCTCACTTCCAACGTCTTCTAGAGGAGTTGACTATAGTTTGGGGGCCTACTCAGGCCCGCTATAAACCCCAACACACTTGGGTGGCTGTCAAAATTATGGTCCCTTTTTGGGTACCCTAAATATTAGGTGCCGTATTATAACAGGGACCCAAAAAGAACCCTAATTTTGACAACCACCCACTTGACTCAAACTTGATGAAGGCAATTCTTGTCCGAACAGACATTTGCAGCCTCTTGTAGGTGAAGTCTTGAGGCCACAGAATGGAGGAGGTGGTGTCGACCACCAGGACCTCAGTCCATGGACAGGACTAATATTCGCATCGGCAATCATCGGATTTGTCTGCAATCGAATCACTAGAAAACTTGCAGAAACAGTATAGAATCACAAGAACAGTACTACCGAGGCTGAGAAAGCTCACCTACTAAAGCTCGTAGGTGGTGCATGCTTTGCCGCAGCATGGCCCACGGCAGAGTCAACAATCCATGGGAAATGTCTTGACTTTACGACTCTACATGTATATAGTCTCCATTGTAACTCCTTTTCATGTTCAGGTTCGCTTATAGGTCCTAACTATAAAACTGCTGTTGCCGAAACAAAGAACTACAATGGTCACTGTAGATAGCTTCGGGTCTCGAAGGTCTGGGGTTTGTAGACTTACGGCGTGGACCTGAGGGTCTGAGCTTGAGCCTTCGTAACCTTAGTAGTTTGAAAAGGGTCCTGGCTAAGGATACTCCGGTATACCTGTGGGCGGTCTCATCGTGTTATTCTGACTTCACTACACCCCTTACAAACCGCTACAATATCCTGCTACGCTAAGGCTCCAAAGTGGTTCCTTTTTGGGGTTCATATTTAGAATCCTATAAGGTAATCCCAAAAAAGAACTACTTTGGGGCCTTTGGCTATTGGTTCATCTGGAAATAACAGCTTCCCGTTGCCAAGGGCCCGCACATGCCGGATCTTCCGGGAATCCAGAGCTTTCCGGCTTGTGGCTGCCTGTGAAGAACAAAGCAGTTTGGGTGTTTAGGATTTATAGGGCTCAGGCCTACTTGTCGGGTATCACGGGGAACTAAAGGTTGACCTTTTTGGTTAGGGATTATATAGGGACTATACTACCCAAAAAAGGTTAAAGGTTACCTACTCTACTACTAGGCAGGGTTCCCCAATGGGTCCTGGTATCAATATGGTAGGTTCTTAGCAGCAAAGTTGGGCACCAAATATACTATACTGTTATTTGGACCCCTTGAGGAAGAAAGGCCTGTGGAGTTAACGTAGTACAGAAGCTTCAAAAATCACAAGTGCTGCTACGGAGGGTTCAGTAGCTTCATGTTCGTCTAGTATCTTAGACTCCGAAACCTATTCTGGTAATCAAAGCACCTATACTAGCGCGACAGTCCGAGATTTGCCACATGTGTTCTGCATGAACGCGTATCCAAAGGTCCGTGAGACTTGCACTACGGTTGATGATATAAATCCTGCATTACCCACAAAAGGGAATATACCATAATTCCCATAGGTAGTGCAGGATTTATCTCATCAACCATATCAACCCTGAAGCCCTGAGGCCTGAACATGCCTCACTCGCAGGCTCTAACATCAAATGAGCCCTGAACCGCCAAAAGGACACCCTAACCCACTAAAACGAGCGCCTCGTGCAACCCTTCCTGAAGCCTTGGTAAGCCTTGGTACTGTAGCTGATGGCACCCTTATAGAAGTCGTATGAGGAGCCCTTGTGAAGCCCCGAACCTCCAGCGAATGCCGGCCTTCGCTGATCCCAGGAATAAGCCCGGTCCGATCTCCGAGATGTCAGCCGATGCCATGGTGGCACGGCACAGGATTTAGGGTTTAGGGTTTAGGCGTGGCATCTTAGGTGTTGGGTTTAGACTGCAGGTTGTGCCGGGCTCTTGGGTTCAGGGGTGATGCGCTTTGGATTAGGAGTTGGGGTGCTTTTGGGGTTGAGGTTCGGGGTAAGGTTTTAGAAAACCAGGGCTTGATGGGTTTAGAGCTGCTGCTGTTGTTGGTGAGCTTTGGGCAAGCTGTCCACTGCAGGATTCTCATCTAACAGCCGAGGAGCCCTCCTACATCCTAGACTTGAACCCTTAGCCTGAGTTCTCATTTCTATGTTACAATCTGGGGAAAACATGGGATTGATATGACGGCGTTTAAGGAGTCTGAAGGGTGCCATGCCTGAGTACGTAAGCACATGAGCTGGAATGGAAGATGCTGCGGGTGCGAGCCCTCCTGTGCTCTCATTTCTTGAATTTGTTTTTGATTTGCTGCCGCTTCCACGCAAGAAATTTGGGTTAAGAAATCCAGGGTACCCTCAAATCCCGAAACGTGTGTTTTTCTAAGAATAGGTGCGCTTCAAAAATAAGAAATCGAGCCCCCCTCACGAACAAAACATGCTTCTTAACCGGCGCTGTCGCTGTATAACTATAATAACTATAATATGGAGCCCCCCAAATATTAATAGCCCCTTGTATGAAGGAACAAGGAAGAGCTAAAGCAAGAGCAGGAGCGAGAACAGGAGCAAGTTGGCAGCATGACTCCGTGCCTTTGCAGTGTCTATCTGCCAGCACTGGACATATTCAACACGGCCCTGGGCGCCGGTTTCGGGTTTAGGTTCCTGGGGTTTTAGGTTGGAAGGCTTACAGGTTTTTGTTCGACTGTGGCGGTTCAGCCTTTCAGACCTTAGCCTCAACCTGCAAGCCTCAGCCGTGAACATGTTCTTTGGGCTCTCAGGAATTGCCTCAATCCTAAAGGTCCTAAACCCCAACTCCAAAACGCAACCCTGCACCCCCTAAACCTTCTCGGCATGACCGTGGGACCCATATAGCAGAATAGGTAGTGCTGAGGGTTCATGAAACGGATCAATGCACGCCAAACCTCCAAAACGCGCTGCTTCGCCCTCCGTTGTCAGCAAGACCAGATCTTTCCTCTACCTATAGACTATAGAGTGTCCATTGTAATTCCCCTAAGGGTCCAAGTTGTTCTTGTTTAAGGTTTTTGATGCCTAAAACGGCCCTAAAGTCTTATATTAGGGAGTACTTGGACCCTCTGGATTCCTTTTTTAAATGTTACCTTTTAGGATCCTAAGCACAAAACTGGCTAAACCAAAAATCGAACTAGAATGGAGAGTCTCGGTACACCTCTTCCAAGCCCTGAATCTTGTATTGCAAGCTTTGACCGAGTAGTAAACCCCAATGCCTGAACCCCTGAACCCAAAGCCCATAAAAAAAACTAAGCTCTAAGCCCTAAACCCACTAAACGCAAACCCTAAACGCTAAACCCGAAGCACAGCCGCGAGGGTGCTGCCAAGAAGCTGTGAAGCGCGTCCGAGCCCAGAGTTGATTGAGATCACCCCGATAGATGATCTGAAGCACTTGGAGGTTCATGGGTAGTTATAAGTGGGGTTATAAGTCCCCCAATAGGAGTTACAACTATAGTTACCCTACTTATATCCCTACATATAACTACCCATGAACCTCCAAGCAAGGATTACGGTTGAAGCTCCTATGTAGGGCTCATAGGGTTTAAGGGCTTTGGGTTTAGGGTCAGAGTTAAGGGATCATTGCTTAGGGTCTGGGGTTTAGGGATTGAGTTAGGGTTTGTATTGGACCGTCTGTCGCATTCAGGGCCTGCCAGTTTTCGATAAATCATGGGCACAAAAGGCTCGGAATTTAAGGGCCGGCTCTGCCAGCGTCAAGCTTCTAGCACCATGTTGCAGAGACAACAAGAACGCTTGAAGACTCTGCCGCCACAAGACCACGGGTCTCATCAGGTGCAGTCATGCGTTCAAACTCGTCTTCCGCAAAGCCCCGAGCCGTAAAAGCCTTTATGCTCTACTGGGTTCTTGCAGGAATTTGATTTAAGTTACCATAGTAGGGATCTAGTGTAGATAATACGGTTCCTTAGTATGGTAACTTCAAATATAAATCCTTTAACAAAAACTCATTCAATGGAGGAATCTCGCCTTAGAGGACTCTGCAGTCCCAGCGACGCAAGCAGCACAACACGAACATGCCTCAAGTGCTTTTAATAACCAACGAGACCCAGGACACTGCTCTGCAGTACGAGACCGTAAGTGTCTTCCTAAAAAGGGTACGTTAATTCTGCGCAGGGTTTCGGCTGTGGGGGATTCCAGGGTTTGGGGGTTGTGGTTTGTAGGCATCGGACTGCACTGTTTTCGACTTCCGTTAAATGACGGTCAAGATTCGAAGCAAATCCCATCTCGGGCCAGTACTGGGTACTGCTGAAGAAACCCTAATGGTCCATGTACCCAATGTACCCAAATAGGGACTGCATTAAGGCCCATGTATATACTATATGAGTACATGGACCCTTAGGGAAGCCTAGTTCTGCAAATCAGGGCTGAGTGTTCCGTTCAGGGACCTGCGGGGTGCAGGAGGTCGCTGAGTGCACAGGTCATCCCCAGCTGCGTGCCTCGCTGGTCAGGGACTGGATGCCCTGAGAGAATTCCTCCAACAGCAGATCTTGTAGAGTGGGAGAACCATCTGCTGGGACGGAATACTAAGACCGTTGGAGGTGCTTTCCGATTCACTGATGCACTGTTAGACAGCTGCAAACTCCGCTGGCCGAGACATGACAAGCACACTTACGGTCCCGCAAGCATCGAGAGAGACAAAACCACAGGTCATCCCACTAGCAAAGACAGACACGGGCAAGCTCTTTCATGCCCCATGCATCCCATGATGTCCTGCGTTCGGCTCATGAGGTAGAGCCTTGCCACTGGTTTGTCGCGGTTCGGGACTCTGAATTTAATCGGGTAGCCTTGTCGGATCGGCCGACCAGAATGGTCCAGCAATTCTGCTATTTTCAGTGTGGCATGCAGCAATCGAAACAGCCAAAGTCGTGTCATGAATCGCATAGTAATTTGTCGATAGCAAGCCAGGGATGCAGTAGTTCGACAAGCCGTAAAGGTGCTGCCAAGCTGTCACTTATACAGGTTTGTATAAATATGTATGTATGTATGCATGCATGCGTGCATAGATGTACGTATGAGCTCCAGCATCCGTAGGACAGTGCAGGTTCTCGATAGAACAGTCAAGACAACAAGAGACTGCTACTCATCGCACAGATCTACAACAAGAAACTCGAAGTAACAACAAGAGCTAGCAGTACTCACATTCCCGAAGGGTCAAGGTGCCAATCAGTAGGTACTAAAGCAAACATTTTGGCCCCCAAGCAGCAAAAACTGCAATGTGGCCCTTTGGGATAATCCCGACATTGCGGAGGCCAGAGTTTTGTGGGCTTAATCGATGCGTAGGCGTAGGTGTCTCCAGAGACTCAATTATCCGGAATGTACCTTGAATCATTGATAATAGGGGCAATTTAAGGCATGTTCCTGAATTGAAGGATAATTGTTGGAGTCTCTGTGTCCCAAAACCCCCAAACCGTAACTCGAAATCCTAAACCCTACACCCCTACACCCTAAACCCTGAAACCCGAAACCCCCAAAACCAAAACCGTTCATGGTTGTGTACCGCTCGAAAGCATGACGCCTTCGCCTCTCGAGGTCAACACGCACTTCGCCTTCACCTGCGCCACAGGGTTTAGGGTTTAGAGGTTTTGGGCTTAGGGGTTTAGGGGTTTAGGGGTTTGGGGTTTCGGGGTATAGGTTTTAGGGGTTTCAGGGTTTAGGGGTTTAGGGTTCAGGGTCTAGGTGCCTAGGGTGTTGAGGCTTCTGAGGTGCTTTGAGATAAGCACATCAGCTTTGGAACAACATCTTGTCGGGTGCTTTGGATGCCAGCAGGAACATCAACAACAAGTTGTGCCTCTCGGCTTATGTAGATGCGTCTTACAGGGGCCCCAAGACAGGTCAAACCAGGCTCAGGACAAGTTGGGCTATAGCATGGGATCCCCAAGAAGCCACGTAGCATCTCCCATTTCGGCACCTTGGTAACACCCCAAACCCTAGACCTCGAAACCCTAAGCTACGAACTGCAAACCAAACCCTACAGTAGGCCAAAACCGAAACTCGGCAGCTGCATGGCCTCGATGCCGTTTCCTGTAGGTTTCGCCGGTGAACTTCTGACCATTAGCAACCTTCCCTGGCAGGGTTTAGGGTTTAGGGTTCAGGGCGTTGTTTGCTGCGTTGGGGGTGTCGGAAGGGGGCCGAAAGAAGGATCTTCCGGGTTCGGTGTCGACGTCAGGCCTATAGGGCTATAGGGGAGTTTCCGAAAATAGGGGAACCTAATGTAGTAGCCTAAATAGTAGGATCCTGAATACAAGGACCCCAGAATAAGGTACCTCTATTTTCGGAAACTCCCATAGGGATTAAAGTGAGGTTTCGAGTCTGGCTCGGGTGTGCGTGGAGGGTTTCAAGGGATGCAAGAACAGGAGCTTGGACTGCAAGGTCTTCGGCGTGGGCCAAGAGACTCCAATATCCCTTAATTAAGGAATATACCTTAATTTATATTAAGGATCTGATTCGGGGATATTGGAGTCTCTGCGGGGCGCAGTGATATTCTGCTAGATCTACAAAAAATACCAGGGCGAAGCATCATAATGGTTGAGGTGTTGGGATTCGGGTTCAGGTGTTTCAGGTGTAGTGTTCAGCTCAGAACATCAGAAGACAAGGGGAGGCCTCAAAGTTCGGTTCTTAGTGTTTGAGGCAAAAACCCGAGCCCTGAACTTAAGTTAGACACACAGAACTAGGTGTCGATTTCAACACTGCCCAAAATTGTCCATAATTGGGCTCTATATTAACCAGCAAGGAAATGAAAAATCATCCCCGATCGATACCTAGTAAACAAGCGGCGCAGCCCCTGGGCAATACGGGTCTCGAAGATACACACCG